ATTAAGTCAAGCTGCAAAACATTACCCAGGATGCACTGTGATTTTTTTTTTTTTTTTTAATAAACATCTCAGGCAATTTTTTCCATCCAAAGCCCAAAACACTTTGGGGGCGGGGGGAGAGGTAGGAAGTTTCATAGGGGAAAAAAACACACATATATAATGAAATAATGCCAAACCCCAAACTAAAGTATTTACAAGATAGTCCCTTAAGCATAGTTTGTCATATTGCAATTACACCTTGCCTACTGCCAAGTCAAAGTGCTTACTATTGCCACTAGAGGGAGAAATGTCTTAACACAAAGCAACGGCAGATAGGGAATGGGTTTTCTTGAGCAATTATCAGAACAAAGCTCCCCTGGCTGTGTGTACCTTCTAATTACTCAATACAATTAAAATGACTAACCTAAAACAAATAGGAAAAAAAAAACAACTTGCCTGGCTAATATCAGGGATTTCATTAAACCTTTCCCCTCATCAATCAAATCAGAAAGAAGGGAATGCCATCATATACAAACATTATAGAGCTATTAAAGGAAGTAAATTCAGTGAGTTTCTTTTTTTTTTTTTCTAAAGGAAGAAAAGAAGTGGCTCTCTTGAAAAAAGAAATGTCGTGGTATTTACCCATCTGGATGCTGCTTGAAAACAAATTGTCCTCCAAAGAGCAGAAATACAGTGTGTTTTCTCTCAGTTCACTGGCTTATGAATGACTTTTTGTTGTTGTTGTTGTTTTGTTAATACACACTATAATGTCATTTTCTGTGTCAGAGATGTGCTTTTTCCTCCTACTCATCCAACTGTATAAAGGAGCTATGCCAATCAGACCTCCATGCTGATATGGGGCTGTTTAGGTTCTTCACTGCTGTTTTTTATGGATCTAGTTTAAGGTAATGTTTAGAACACGGGAATTTAGGGGCATGGGGGTAGGAAAGGAAAATATCTACTTATTCCTTCTGAAAGGCTTATGTAGTTCCCTTTATAAGGCCCAGTCATTAACAGAAGATGACAACAGAGTCATTTTTCTTTCAGCTGACAATTGTGACATTTTTCCAGCAGCGTGCAAGGTGTTGAAAACCTGGCAGCTGTTACCTCCTGGGATGAAGATACTTTTTTATCCTCCCTTGACAGTTTAACTCAGTGGGTCAGCACCTTTAAAGACTGCAAAGTATCCTTGAAGAGGATGGGAGCTTGAATTACTGCTCCCTCCCTAATCAATGTAAACCCTCACTGCAGGTGAAGTCTCCATCTATAGAGGTGCATGGGGGAGGAAAATGTAATGCCCTGAGCCAGATGGTTTTTATCTTGTTTTTAAAGAATAAAGGAACAAGCTAACAAGGGAGACAGCTACTTTGTTAGCTTCTTGGCCTCTCTCATGGCTTTGCATCCCCAGGGTTCCAGCTACACAAGAGAAAGAATACAGAAAAACGTAAACACTTAAAGAAATATAACTAGAGGGCTGGCATCATGCTGCTTTCAAAGAGTTGAGAGAGCTCTACTCAATGCTTTATTTATCACTGCCCACGTTCTCAGGATGGTAAGTGGACACATACACAAAGGGAATGGGGGATGGGGAAGGATTAGACAGAGGTCACAATTTACTCAATTACAGAGAAAGGCAGGGCTGACAGATCCTATTAGCACCAATGTGAAGCAAAGAAGAAGTTGCATGTTGTAAGGCTACATTTTCAAAAAGTAATGAGTACTTTCGTGTATCCTCCCAGGCCTTTGCCCTTGTTTGCAGATATGAATAAAAGCACTGAAAACAGTTGCTATGGTTTCCTTGGCTTCACGTTTTAGAAACAAAAGTAGATAGAAAATTGTAGCCACTGTACATTCTTTAAACAGAAGTTCACACTTTACTTAATGTGGAGCAGTAAGGAGATTATTCCCAAATTCAGAACCTTAAAAGGATACACTGCTTCTCTTTCCTCACTAACCTTCCTGCCTTCTGATACTGGAAATTAAATGGAAAAATGGGTATACAAAATGGCTTGGTGACACTGAGGGCAGTCACCAAGTCTCCTGACTTTCTCCTTCAATATTTTCTTTTTCTGCTAACGTCTTTGTCAGGTTTTGGAATTATGGTTACAGTGGCCTCATAATACAGTCAGGAAGTGTTCTTTCCTTCTCTGTTTTCTGAGTTTGTACAAGAGTGAGCTATTTATTCCTCAAATGTCTGATAGAATTCACTGGTGAAACCATTTGGGGGCCTTTTGATAATGTGATTTCTTTACTAGACATCAGGCTATTCAAATTTGTTTCACCTTGCATTGGTTTCAGTAAGTTGTATTTTTCAAGGAATGTGTCCATTTCACCTAAGTTGCCAAAACTGTGGTTTGAAGTTATTTATAATATCCCCTCATTATCCTTTAAATGTCTGTAAGAATTGTAGTGATGACCCTTCTTTCCGCTCCTCCATATTTTTAAATAACTCGGAAGTTACCAGGTAGTGGTCATAGTCTATCATCACCTGCGACTGTATTTTAGAACAATATACGTGAACTATAAAATCAGTTTAAAACAATACTAAACTTGTTAGAATTTAACTGAGCATTTTCAAATCAATAGTGAAAGAGTTCCTTGAAATCCCATTAGAAATATCTGCAAAAGAATCTCAAGGGATTGGCCTACATGATGCAAATCCTACTTACATCAACACTAGGTAAAAGGCAGCCTTGACATCTTTTTATCTGTATTAACTTGACTAAAGTGGGAGGGGGGGGAGGGAGCAAATGGCACTTCATTATTGTCATGCAACAGAGAAAAGAGGGAGTTTAAACAGCTTATATATTATGTCCTACATTAAAAAAATCAGCAGTGGGGTAATCAAGTTCAGGGCAGTCCTGGACAGCTGCCCTGTGACCCGCTTCTATTGACCCCTGCTATTCATCACTCTTCCCTAAGATTGAGAGGGCAAGCTCCTAGGGAGTGACCACCACAATAGACAGACACAAGCCAACAGTAATCTGGTTCGAGCAAAAAACCAGATGGCACTGCAATAAATTTACAAATCTGCATTCATAGGGCTGTTAAAACACCCAGAAGCTAAAAGATTCAGAGGGCCCCAGGAGGATCTCCTACTTCCCCGTTTCTAAAGGCCATTTCTCTTTCCAAGAACACTGAGTTCATGCTCTTCATAAAGAGAATAGAGATAAAACCCTTTACAAAGAGAGGAGGGGAAAAAGCCTCATGACCTAATTAATCTCCAGAGCTTGGATCTCAACACTGAATGACAGATATTAGAAAAATCATTTTGGAGCACTAGGAGGAAAGACACAAACAAAAACAAAATGGTTGTTATATTAAAGTGGAGAGGGTGAAGCAAATCTGCTAAAAAGCAATGAAAAAGCCACAGCGTATCTCTTTCAAATACTGCACACAACGGATCTTGCAAGTAGAAAATGATTCAATAATGTATGCATTTATTTTTAAAATGAATCAGATTAGTCCCATGTGTGACCTGCTGGTCCATCTGTATGTGCTGGACTTAATAGGCACGATTCTCTCTCTTGCTTCAGTTTGAAGTATGAGAGAGATAAATTTAGTTTAATTTTCAACAGATCAGCCTATCCATTTTCCAAATGGACCATCTGGATCAGCCTATTAAAATTAATTTATAACTTTGCAGAGTGAAAATTCGTTTGTTAGCTTAAATAAAGTTGCCAAAACTTTTTGTCGTGTCATTGTTTTCTGACAGTTGTTTCTGTAGAGTGGGGAGAGACTTTCTCCCTCTAAATTTATCTTACTCGATACTGTCCTATTTATTTAGTTTTAGATTATCAGCTGTTTGTCTCCAAATAAAGCTGTTAACTGCATAGTATCAATTACTAATCATAAAGGTTTTTTACAAAAGCTTCCTGAATGGATTCAGTTCTACTTACTAAACAATTATTTTTATCAAAAAGGAAAAGTGCCCATCCCCAAATTTTTACCATATAGTAAATAAAAAATGAGTATAGCACAGTTTCAAGTACTTTTTCCCTATGTTAACACTGTTATACAAACTTGGAATCAGAAGGCAGAAGTAGAAACGCTTGAGCAACATTGAGATCTGGGTTTTAAATCACTGACAAGCTCATAAGCAAGTCACCTAAGCTCCCTAAGTCTCCATTTTCTTCATCTATAAATCGGAGGCGCTATCTACCAACTCTGTAGGGTGAATGTGAGGATGGAATGAAACAAATACCAGGTTTGTGGTGGACACTAGACAAATATCAGACCTCTTTTCTTTTTTCCTAAGAATAGTACCGTAAGTGAAGTAAACTGAAAATACTTTGGCTACTGCTGGCGCTCATCTTATCCAACCTTACACTAAAAGTGAAGAGGTGGTATACCTATTCTCTGGCAACATTCTAGTGAACTTGTTTTTGTTGCTATTGGGGACAAAAGATGTTAGAGGTTGCTGCAGGCAGTGAGAAGAGCAAATTTTTTAAGCAAATGTTTCTGGACATTTTCATTTAAGAAAAGAGGGCACCATGGAATTAACTTTCAAAGCAAAATGTATTATCTTTGGGGAGTGGGGTACAGTGAGGAGAAATTTTTTTTAAAGTTATCATCATCAATAATGGCCTTTACTTTTAGAAAAAACAAACAAATACTGCTCAGACTAAAAGGAGCTAACTTCACTAGAGGCAGATCCCTTTTGATTGTTAATTTTAAAAAAATGTGTTAAGAATCTCAAAGGAAAGTAAGTTTAAAGCAACTATTCTACTATCTGCACTTAAGAAGCATTTCAAGTTATTTTTCCTGAACAAGAAAACTTTTCTTTGGTGTTGTTTTCACTAAACGTAAGCAATCAACCTTTCCTCTACTTGTACACCTAGGATATTTTTAAAAGACTGGAAAAACAATGTTACCTGATTGAAATTGATGGCTACAGCCACCTCAACTTCAGAGTATTCTTAATTTAAGCTCCAGTGCTTAACGAATGGCAAATTGAGGGTTTTCTGTCTTTTCTTCTGTTGTTGGTAGCTTTTTATTTTAAGACAGACTGAATTTCATACCTGTCTAAGTGAATTCTTCTCTGGTATTATCTTCCTAGGGGGTTCGCCATTATTACAGTCTTCTCTCTCTGAGGAATTCTGTGAAAGAAAGTAAGCTTTAATTCAGTTCTCATTATCTTCAATCTTATTCTGTGGGAGTAAACTGAATTACATTTCTAATTCTGTAAGCTAGAATACCATGTATATTTATGCATTTATTCACTTGAAGATTTATATACATACAGACATACACTTACATAAAGGAAAACATATGCCCATGTATATAAATAAATTTAAGTAGGGACTTAGGTGGAAAGTATTTCATCTATTTTTAAGCACTGCCCAGCAGATCACAGTCATTAGGAATCTAGTTTATTGGTCTTTGAAAATGCAGGGGACACTGGACACGAGAAAGCTCCAGTTTATACTTAGCTGGTAATAACTTAAACCATGATTATTAACTTCTATTTTAAACAATTAGTTTTAAACTATAGTAAATGTTTAGTCACTAGAAATTCTCAAAGTCTGGATCCTAAAATAAATAGTTCCTTCTCTTTGTCCTCTTCTCCGATTTTTCTTTTATTAAAAATAACATAGTACTTAGCTCAAAACAACATAATTTCATCAATGGTTTAAAATTACAGTCCAGGGGTGCCTGGGTGGCTCCGTGGTTTAAGGTCTCTGCCTTCAGCTAAGGTCATGATCCCAGGGTCCTGGGACTGAGCCCCTCATCAGGCTCTCTGCTCAGTAGGGAGCCTTCCTCCCTGCCTCTCTCTGCCTGCCTCTCTGCCTACTTGTGATCTCTGTCTGTCAAAATAAATAAATAAATAAAATCTTAAAAAAATAAATAAAATAAAATAAAATTACAGTCTATTCTTGCCACTATCACCTCAAACAGCAGCTAGAAGACCATAAATGTCAATGGGATTTTTAAATACTTAAGAACAGAGGAAAAAAAAAAAAATCCAATTGAAAGCAAGTTCAGAATTCTAAGTATCAACAGAGTAATAAAATAGCAACCCATGGGATGAGAGAAAATATCTGCAAATCATGTATCTGATGAAGGATTAACATCCAGAATATATAAGGGTGCCTGGGTGGGATCAGTTGGTTAAGCACCTGACTTTTTTTTTTTTTAATTTTTAAAAATTTATTTATTTATTTATTTAACACAGAGAGAGAGAAATCACAAGCAGGCAGGCAGTGAGAGAGAGGGAAACAGGCTCCCCGCGGAGCAGAGAGCCTGACGCAGAGCTCAATCCCAGGACCCTGATATCATGACCCGAGCCAAAGGCAGAGGCTTAACCCACTGAACCACCCAGGCGCCCCGAGCACCTGACTCTTGATTTCAGTTCAGGTCATGATCTTGGGGGTCCTGGGAGAAGCCCTTCATGGGGCTCCATGCTCAGCAGGGAGTCCGCTTTAAGATTCTCTTTCTCCTCCTCCTTTTGCCCCTCCCTCTCATTCATGTGTGCACATGTGCACTCTCTCTAAAATAAATAAACCTTTTTTAAAATCCAGAATATAGAGAAGTTGTAAAATTAAACAAACAAAAAACTCCAAACAACCCAATTCAAAAATGTACAAAGGGGGCACCTGGGTGGCTCAGTGGGTTGAAACCTCTGCCTTCGGCTCAGGTTGTGATCCGGGGATCCTGGGATGGAGCCCCATGTCAGCTCTCTGCTCAGTGGGGAGCCTGCTTCCCCCCTACCCCTCTCTGCCTGCCTCTCTGCCTACTTGTGATCTCTGTCTGTCAAATAAATAATCTTTTTTTTTTTTTAATGTACAAAGGACTTGGATAGACAGTTCTCTAAAGAAGATATACAAACGGCCAACAAGCACATGAAAAGATGTTCAACATCACTAATCATTTCAGGAATGTAAATCAAAACTACATGGAGATACCACATCACATTCATTAAGAACACTCTATCAAAAATAGACAAAACCCAAAATATATATTGGCAAGGATGTTGAGAAATTGGAACTCTCATGCACGGTTAGTGGGACTATAAAAGAATTGAGCTGCTGTGGAAAAGAGTATGGTGGTTCCTCAAAAATTAAACAGAATGATCAGAGATCCAACAATTCCAGTTCTAGGTATATATTCAAAAGAACTGAAAGCAGAGTCTCAAGAGATAATGTGTACACCTGTGTTCATAACATGGAAGCAACCCAAGTGTCCAATGACCAATGAAGGGATAAATAAAATGTGGTGTAAATGGAGTATTACTCAGCCATCAGAAAGGATGAATACCCAACTTTTGCATCAACATGGATGAGACTGGAGATTATGCTAAGTGAAATAAGTCAAGCAGAGAAAGTCAATTATCATATGGTTTCGCTTATTTGTGGAACATAAGGAACAGCATGGAGGACATTAGGAGAAGGAAGGGAAAAATGGAGAAGGGAAATCGGAAGGGGAGCCAAACCATGAGAGTCTATGGACTCCGAAAAGAAACGGACAGTTTTAGAAGGAAGGGGCAGGTGGGAGGATAGGCAATCCTGGTGATGGGTATTGAGGAGGGCCAAGGATTGCAAGGTGCACTGGGTGTTACTCGTAAACAATGAATCATAGAACACTACATCAAAAACTAATGAAGTACGGTATGGTGACTAACATAACGTAATAAACATAAGCAAATAAATAAATAATTTATTTATTTATTTATAAAATAAAATAAAATGTGGTGTAATATATCAATGGAATAGTATTCAGCCTTTAAAAGGAAGGAAATTGTTGTATATACCACAACGTATATGAACCTTGAGAACATTATGCTACGTGAATTAAGTCCGTCACAAGAAGATAATTACTATATGAGTCCACTTACATGAGATACTCAGAGTAGTCAAAATCATACAGAAAGCTGAATGGTGGTTGCCAGGAGCTGGGAGAAGTGGGGGAATAGGGAATTATTGTTTAATGGGTACAGAGTTTCAGTTTCACAAGATGAAAGTTATGGAAATGGATGAGGCTGATGGTTGCAAAATATAATGCATATATTTAACACCACTGAACCATACACTTAAAAAATAGTTAAGATGATAAATTTTATGTTATATGTATTTTACCACACTACAAAATAATTGGAAAAAATTTGGTAATCAACACATATAAGTCACCACCTGCAAGGCAAAGTACGGAAAATCCAAATACAAATTACTTGGGTTTTATTTTCCACAACTACATTCATTGTGTTAATATTTTTAAATTTGCAAGTTTAGAAAAATTTTTATATACTCATTACATTACATACACTCATCACATTCTAACTGGGGAACTACTTTTAGATGCAGAAATTATTTCTAACATGAGTTTATGTGAAAATTTTCATACAACTATGACATTATTAGTATAGGATCATAACTGTATTTTAGATATACCTTTTGTTGTTTCTATCAAATATTATATTTTAAGAGATATTTAAGGATAAGCAGCATGTAAACAGTGTCATTTTAAGACCCTGTACCTTTGTGGCTAACATCTGTATACCTTGTGCCTTGCCTGTAGTTGGTGTGACAGGCCCGTGTTGTAAGGTGTTCCTTTTGGGCAGAAATCTCTTAAAAGATATTTAACTTGATATCTGACATTTGTGATGACCACTATAAGGTAATGGTCCCTAAAATTAAGACAAAGAAGAAAAAACATGCTATGCTACAAAGGAAGGCGCAGAGACTCAATAACTTGCGAGTTCTAACTGGGTTTTCTCTCCATTTTGAAAAAAAAGTAATGTAGTCGATTTACAAAAAAATTAGAGGCACAGTGGAAGTAATGACTGTAAAATAGTCCAAATAATGAAAATAGCAATATATGCCACTTTAAGATAAACAGAGGAAGGGAAAGGTCAACAATAAACCCATAAAATCAACTTGTATATTTAACTTTTAAGAAAAATAAAGTATAAATGTTTTAAATGCTAAAATTAAGTGTTTTATGTAATACAAACTTAAGCCAGTATTCAATTATACACTTACAACATGCAAGTAACTTCCCCAGACCATGAAGTTCCACCTTCCTTTAAATACAATATCATTTATAATCCAACCTGGTTTAATTCAATGCAAAGTCCTATATTTCAACGTTAATTATGTTTTGTTAAAATGTCATCATAATAAACTTGGAAACATAGTGGCAGAAGTCTGCAATAGTGAAGTTATTATGATCACATTTTTAGTCTATAGGTGATGGGGTGAAACCAAATTGATGGTAAACTATGTACTAAATTACATAGTGAAAATAGTAATGTGAACATAATAGAATGAGCAGCATGTAGCCCATATCCACAATATTCCTCCTCCCAACCCTCTACTTTATCTGATTTAGATGAGGAACTATTGAGTGGGTATCATGAAATTTATTACCTTAAAATAGAGGTAGGGACATTAAACAGTCATGATATTAGGAGCAAGGAGTAAGACACCCTTGTAATAGTGAAGAAGAGAGCCAGAAAGCCAGCAAACAGATAAACAGTTTACAGTCTTGAAGATGGAAGATGGAAGGAAATGATGAAACACCCATGTATACCGAAGTGGTTACCTCAGTGGTTCTCAAAGTTTGTGTGCTCTCCAACATCACCCAGGCTCTCCTCTCAGGAGCACAGTTATCCCTCTTATCTTTATCTATGGTGCATCCCAATAAGTCATGTTCATAACTGTACTGGTCATCAAGCTAAATTATGTCCAGTAAGTTCTTTTTAAGGGTAACCACTTGATGCAAGCAAGACTCGTGCCACAAATTAGTGGGTGAGAGTTAGACAAATAACAGGAGTGTTACATGATCTTAAAACACGTGTTCATGAGGTATTTAATATTACAAAAGGAAAAACAATAACCTCACAGTGGAGAGATATGGTAGACACCACCTTAACATTATGTGCCTCCTGGGCGCTCAGGTGCCTCAGTTAGTTAAGCCTCTGCATTTGGCTCAGGTCATGATCCTGGTGTCCTGGTATCAAGTCCTGAATTGGGCTTCCTGCTCAGAGGGGAGCTTGCTTCTCCCTTTACCTGTCCCCCTGCTTGTGATCACTTTCTCTCTCTCTCTCTCTCTCTCTAATAAATAAAATCTTCTAAAAAAATTATGTGCCTCTGATATGATG